CATGTCCAGCAGCAGGAGGCAGCCGCACGCTTTGTGCGTCACGGCAGAACTGGGGAACAGCGAGCAGAGAGATTTGCTGCCGTCTGCCGATGCGTCGTGCCGATGTTTTCGCTACTGGCGGCATCACTGCGTCCTGCTGCTGGACCCCAGGGTTACATGCAGGCAACAGGCACTGAGCTACTGGAGGCCATTGGAGAATCTGCGTGCCGGGCTTGGGAGCTTCTGGTTTTTTTTTTTGTTTTTATTTTTTTTTAAACTCAAGTGGCTTTTCCTTCCCATCTGCCTCAACACAGGTGTCAGTGCCCTCTACCCTGTGCCAGGCTTCTGTGCCGGAGGTGGGTAGGGATAGGTTCTAGGGCTTCATGCTGCTGCTCAGAAACACGGAGGAGCAGAGCAAGGCTGTGCTGAGCCATGCAAACGCAGCACTGCTTGGGGGGAGCAACCAAGGGATCGGGGGAAAATGCACTGAGCAGGGAATGTGGAACCAAACCTCACTGCCCGTGCCCACACTCTCCACAGTCAAGGGGATGAAGGGCTAGGGATGTGCAGACCCCTTTTGCAGAAGGGAAGGGCAAGGTTGATGCCACAACATGTGCTGCCCCTGAACCCCAGTGCCCACGAGCGGGGCAGGATGCAGCCCTCAGCCCCCAGCTTGCAGCACGCCGGCCCCGATTATTGTTGGGTGTCGAAAAAGACATTGAAAAGAAAGGAGGAGAGCTGTGAAGAGGGTCACTTTAGTGGCTCTTTCATTTTTTTTTTTTTTTTTCTCCCCCGAGAAGGAAGTTAGAAAAGCAGAGCCCTCAAAGCCGCATTGAAAGGGTGACAGAGACGGGATAATGCGTAAGACCAAGGGAAGGAATCTCAGAGCACTCGCCACGGTGTTTTAATGATCTGTTAACAATTACCCCTTTCAGGGGAGAACATATGGTAGATGGTTTGCTTTAAAAAAAAAAAAAAAAAAAAAAAAAAAAAAGGAAGGACAAAAAAAGAGAAAAAAGATTGCTCCAGAAACTTAAATGATGTTGGGAAAATATGGGGACCACTGTGAGAGCTGGGGGAGGGAGGGACATCGGGGCATAGGGGCTGTGTCGGGCTGGGGACCCCAAAGCTGGAGGTGGCTTGGAGCCGTCCACAGAGTGTGCTGGGGTCACACAGCTCCTACTGCTTCACCAGTCCAGGCAACGCTGCCCTGCACGTCCATAACACCTGGAAGCAGGTGTTGGGTGATGGCACCCCCGGGTGTGGGTGTAAGGGGGAAGGCAGCCTCAAGTCCCCTGGTCGCCAGTGGGGGGTGGGGACCAGCAGCGGACTGGGGAGCATTGGAGCCCAGAGTGCGGCACGGCAGCAGTTCCAGCCAGTGGAGGGGGTGAACCTGTACTCCCTCCTATGTTTTGCGATGATGGCCCAGCTCAGCTGGGGCACAGGCTCAACAGATGGTGCCACGGGGCTGCTGGTGGCAGCCTCCATCCTGGATAGGTTTGCAGGATCCTATCCTTGGTCTCTGCCCCCCCCCAGTCCAGGCATGGCCGGTAGGGAACCACCGGTCCCCCCTTACAGTTGAGGGTCATCTGGCTCCCCAGATAATGCAGCCCTGGGGAGGTGAGTATTTGTGAGGTTCCATGCTGAAATCACCACCTTTCACAGCCTTTTGGCACAAGGTTGGAGCATGACTTGTTGCAACTGCAGTGCCCAGAGCTGCTTCAGTCTTGGTTCAGCTTCTCTTTCAGGGCTGAGTGGTGGTAGAGTTATGAGGTATGTACTGCAAAGTGCTTTGGATGAAAATACCCAAATTTTTATTATTTTCAATATGTATTTCAAGAATGTATTTTCACACGTCATCTTCTCTCCAGAGCTGCCCATTCCCCTGGCTGTCTCCCTCCCCTGCACACCCCACCAAAACAGCACAACCAGACTGGGGATGGGCACCTCCTGTGCAAGGAACTCCTGGGCTCACTTCATCCACTGCACACTTTGTTCCACAGCAGAACACATTTCCTTTTCTCTGGGAGTAGCCTTGCCCTGGCCTGGCCTGGGCAGCAGGGTAGAAAGGACTGGAAGGAGATGGAGAGCATCAGGGCTGGTGCTTGGCATCTGTTGGATACCTTCCTGGTGTCCTAAAGTGTAACCAGGGAAGCTCCATAGCAGAGCCAAGCACAGCTCAATTCTTCTGTGTGCTTGACGGGCAGCTGCTGAGAGCATCCTGGGTTGTGCCAGTCATAAATCCACCGTGCACCTGCAAAGCAGGAGCTGGGCTTTGCCCTGCAGCTGGGAGTGCTCAGGGCTGGCAGCCTGAGATTGCTTCCTTGGTGGCAGAGATCTGTGCTTCCCATAGAGCTGTCATGGGGTGCAGGGTGCAGCCTTGGGGTCTCCTGCGAGATCTCCCCAGGAGCTTGTGGAGCTCAGGCACAGCCAGAGGAGAGCAGCTCTCCTGGTGATGGTAAATCAGCGTGGGGCCACTGAGTGCTCTCCACGAAGGGAGCTGGAGCTGGTGGGATGTGGTGACCGAGGACCTTGCAATTCCACGTGGTATACATCCCACATCGCTGTGGAATGCCTCAGCAGAACAATTTCACAGCACCCACCTGTGTGTGCACCACAGACCCCGGCTAACGCTGAGCGCTCTGTGCTCGGCACCTGCTGCCTCTCCTTCCTCCCCGGGCCATTTGGTTTTCCTGCTCCCTACAGCCCTTCTCCTTGGACACAGCCTTAGCTCAGCCTCTGGCTGTGCTCCGCGGGATCCGGTTGGCGAAAGGGGCCAGGAGACGCCTGGGGACCCTCTCGCGAAGGCGGTTCGCCCCCTCCCCTGTGTCGAACGCTGCGCGACGGTCTCCGTGCGCCCGGCGGGGCGGGACACGCTTCCATGACCGCTTTTCTCTCTTTCTCCTATTTTCTCTCTTTAATTCTTTTTTCCCTTCCTCGCCCCTTCCCCTCTCCCCGTCATGGGGGGAGGAAGGGAGAAATATTGTTCGCAGCGGTCGTTCACAAAGCGGCATCTGCGCACCCCGCGCCTGGCATCTGCGCTCCGTGCGCGCCCGCACCGGGATGGGGCCGCGCGCATCTGTCGGGCGCCTCCGCAGAGTGACAAAGCGCAGCGCGGAGCTCCGGGGGGGGACGAGAGGATCGGAGGGAGCCCCGGCGGGGGGCGCGGGGCCGCGCTGTGCGGGATGGGGGCGGCCGAGGTCCCCGAGGGGCTCGGGGGGAGGCGAGCATCGTGTACACCCCCCCCCCCGTCCGGTGCTCAAACAGCGGCCGGGAGACTGCGGCTTGCGAAACGTCTCCAACGCCTGGCAGGCGGGGGCCGCTCTGGTTACCATATGTTTTCAATAAAATAAGACAAATAGGGCCGAGAGATAGGGCTTGCAGTAAACCTGTTGTAAAGGAGCATAAAATGGGGCAATGTAAACGCGGCCGAGGGCCGCTCGGTGCCACCCCGCGTCGCTGGACCCGGCCAGGTGCGAGCGGCAGCGCGACGCGGAGCCCCCGCGGGTTTTTATCACGTCCGCGGCGATATTGTGCCGGTTCTGCCCCCGTGGGTAAACACACCGGGCGGCTTTGTGCGGCGCGGGGCAGTTATCGGGAGGCGGCGGGGGAAGGTGATGTCACAATGCCGCTGTCCCGTCCGCCAGCAGGTGATGTCTGCCCCCGGCCCCGTGATTAATGCTTCCCAAAGCACTCCACTTTACAATCTCTTGTAATTATTTATTAAACGAAATCTATTTATTATTATTTTAGCAAACAGCGGTACCAGGTGGGGCTTTCTTTCCCTCTCCAGCTTTTGTTTGAAGGACGTTTGAAGTGGGCAGTCTGAGCCTTGCAAATTCGCTCGCCAGATTTTTTTGTCATCCAATTGCACAGGCACAAAAAAAAAACAAAAAAAAAAACAAAAAAAACCAACAAAAAAAGGCCCCGCCGAGCCCTCCCTATTCATCCCCCGCCGCCCTCTCCGCAGCCCCTCGGCGAGGGCCGCCTGGGGCCGCACCCCCCACCCCGCGGCCCCGCTCCGCCATCCCCCGACCGCCGCCCGCGGGGGAACGCCGCCGCCACGCGCTCCTGGAGAGGCCCCGCGCCCCGCGCCGCCTCCCCCGCGGGCACGAACCACGGTCGGGGGCTGCGGGCAGGCGGAGGGGAGAGGAAGGCGGGGCCCGGCCCTGGGCTGCGCCCCCCGCCCCGCCGCGGTCCGGCCCGGCCGCTGGCGGAGCCGTCGTCCTCTTGCGGGCACCGCCGCGCCGTTTTGGTGATGGAGAGGGGGGCTCCCGCCCCACCCGGACTGCGCCCCGAAGTCGGACCTGCCCGCCCCACCCGAGGGCTCTGTGCTGCGCGGGGGACTCCGGCCCCGCCGTCCGTGGACCCCCACACCGCGCTGGGCGAACGAGGGCAGGGAGGGGACCGCTCCCCACCGCCCGCCACCGTCCGTGCGCAAAGCTCTGGACTCATTTTGCGCACCGAGCCCCGGCGGTGGGGCTGCCCTCTCCGGGCCGAGCGCGGGTCCGGTGGGGCGAGGAGGGCCGGGGACACTTTGGAGGGACCCTTCCCCGGCGGGAAGCAGCCACCGTTTCCCGGGGTGCAGCGGAGAAGCGGCGGGAGTGGGCGGCAGAGAGGGCTCCCCCTCCCCCGGCCGGGTGCCGGAGATCGGAGACTGGGGGGCGCGGGACGGGAGGGGCTGCGGGGGCTCTCGCTCGGCCGGGCCGGGGCTGCGGGCGGTGCCGGGCCGGCACGCTCCCGGCGGGCTGATAAGATAAAAGCGTGCCAAGGGGTGGGTGCGGGCGGGGGGGCGCGCACGCCGCCCGACCGGGAAATCCCCATTGTCTGCCGGCCCTATATATAGGGGCTTAACGGCAGTCGTGTGCCGGCCGCGCAACCCGTGCTGCCCGCGCTCGAGGCTCGGCACGGGGAGGTCGCGGAGCCTTCCCCAAAGGCGCGTAGGTGCAGTCGGCGGCCGCGGGGCGCAGCGGGGCCTCGGGGCCGGCTCCCCGCGGGCCGACGCCGCTCGGCTTCGCACGATGGCCCCGCAGAGCGACCGCGCCCCGGGCGCCGGGCAACCCTACTTCGGCGGCCCCGACACCGCCGCATCCCCGGGCGCGGGCGGCTCTCCGGGCGCGGGCAGCCGGGGCGCGTCGCCCGCCCGCAGCGCGCTGCCCCCGCGGGAGGTGGCCCGCAGGAAGGGGCTGGGGAAGGCGCGGCGTGGCCGCGGGAAGGCGCGCGGAGAGGGGCCGCTCAGCAAGCAGAAACGAAGCCGGCGCATGAAAGCCAACGACCGGGAGAGGAACCGCATGCACCACCTCAACTCCGCCCTGGACGCGCTCCGCAGCGTCCTTCCCACCTTCCCCGACGACGCCAAGCTCACCAAGATCGAGACTCTCCGCTTCGCGCACAACTACATCTGGGCGCTCACACAGAGCCTGCTTCTGGCCGAGCAGGGTTTGCCCGAGCCTCCCCCGCCGCCGCCCCCTGCCGCCGTCGCCGCCGCCGCCTCCTCCGGGCCCTGGAGTTCGCCCTGCCCCGCTGCCCCGCCGCCCGCCGCTTTCCCTGCCTTTCTCTGAGCCCGTCGGGCCGCGCTCCGGCGCTGAACATCGCCCCCGGCCCGAAGGTCTCCCTGCGCACCTTGCGCCGGGGGCGGCGGCTGGGCCCCCCGTCCCACCCCGTCCTGCCTGGCGGAGCAGGCCTGAGGTCGGGCGGGCAGACACAAATCACGGTTTTGTACTCGGAAACGGTAAATTATATTAATTTGTCGCTATCTGTATTTATTGATTATATTTCGTAACAAATATATATTTTGTATATAAGAGTATTTTTGGCAGCGGTGGTCCGCATGTTTTTACCGTTGGAGGGGCCGCGGATGTATTCTTTTCCTTATTATTTTTTAGTTACTGTTGGAAGAAGAGGAGAATAAAATGTGTCGCGGTCAGACCTGTGCAACCTGCTGCTTTTCTTTCCAACAAGATCTTTCAAAATTGCTCGCAGTATGCGCCGGGGAGGACAGCGCTGGCCTCGCGGAGGCCTGCGCACTGTGTGCACGCAAAGCGGTTCATCGGGGTCCTGTGCCCTTGAGCAATCCGCCGTGAGCCCTCCGGCACCCTGCGCGCACTTCGCACCGTGGTCCCCCGATTTTCAGAGCCCGATTCGCCCCCCGAGGCAGTTTTAGGGACGTCCCCGGGGCGCAGCGCTCCTGAAGTCGAGTGCCCGCAGCTGAGCGGCCCCGGCGCGACCCCGGCCTCCCCAGGAGGGCTCAGCCTAACGCAGGGTGCCGGGCTCGGGGCAGCTCCGCAAAGCCGGTGGGAAAAGGAACAGGCCCCACGTCAGCGGCCCCGGGAGGAGGGGATCCCGCGAGTCCTCCCCGGTCCTCTCCTCCCGCGACTCAATTTGTAGCTGGAGATTTACGGCCGGGCGCCCACCCCGCTCGGTGCTCCCCAGCGGGATGGTCGTCGCTAGACAAAGCGCCCTGCGAGGCCGAAAGCCCATTGTGATGCTAATTGTTCTCATCTGAGCCCATTTGCCAGCAGCAAAGAGACGCTTTTGAGGCAATTTGTAGAACAAAAGAAATTTGGTTACTGGAAACAAAGGCGCGCGCACAAACAGCCTCCCGGCCCCGCAACGAGAGGGGAAAAAAAAAAAAAAGAGACGAGAGCGAGGGTGCGGGATTCCCGGGCGCCTCGTCCTGGATCCGGTTGCGCTGCGCGGGATCTGCGCGGAATCTGCGCGGGCGGCCCCGCTGCTGTCCCGCGGCGGCGCGCCGGGCCCTGGCCATGGTGCTGAAGGCGCCGCCGTGCGCTCCGGCCCGCGGGGTGGGAAGAGGGCCGCGAGGGGCTGATGCGCTCGGAAACTTCTGCCGGGTTATTTTGGGATGTATACATGGCTTTTTAAAAGGGATCTGCTCTTCCTGCCCCTCGGGGAACGCAGGCGGTGGGAGAGGCTGAGGCCAGGAGCAGGCAGCGTGCGCCCATCTGTGAGCGCTGCTCCCGAACGTGATCTATCTGCACCGCAGGTCAGACAGGCAGAATGAAAGACCTAACAGTATTCCTCCCCTTCCCCCCTTGCTGCTTGAATTGCTTTTTGTTTTCATACCCTAACAGTTTGCAAAGTGCTCCAAGGCCTCTGTGTGTGGCCACAGGCAAGAACCCGTGGTTATTTGGGTGATAAAATTATTTAATGCTTTCCCAGCTTCTCTCTGTATCGGAGGACATCACTCTTCTGTGTCTGCATGTGCCATGGGATGGGGAGAATAACTGGACGGGTGCTGCAAAGGCAGCATTTGTCAAAGCAGGCAAAAGGAACTCAGGGTACGCATGGGCAGAAGAAGGGGTAAGAAAATGAAGCCTAGTGGGCAGCAGGTGTTACAGAAGTCCTGAAAGGGGACGGCACAGCTGGATTTCCAGAATGTGGCTGCTGCAGTGGACTTCGCGGCATTGCAGTTTCTTTTCTCTGGGAGTTTGGGATGCTTCTGGTCCTGTGTGGGGCTGTGTGTTGGGGGGGGTCGGATTTACTACCTCAGGAGAACTAGTGACTTCTTTAAGGGCTTGAATGCTTTTTTTCCTCCCCCTTTGCCTCCACATTATTAAGTTAATCATTGCTTGAACTGGTTGCTATGGTTTTGGCAAACCCATGGAAACTTGATAATGAAGAATGAAAGACTCCTTTTCCATTTATCTTTTTTCTATGTTCAGTGCATGATGGTCTCATTTCTCCCTATGGGGCTGTCCCAGTGCCAGTGCCTGCCTTTATGCCTCTGCACTTTGTGGTGGGAAGGGACAGGTGGCTGTGGGGACCCGCACTAGCCCAGAGTGCAGGCTTGTGCCAGGCCTGTGCATGGAAATCCTCTGCAGAGCACTTGACTTTTCGTTTTGCAGTCAGAGGGGGTGATCCCTTCACTACAATATTTGGATTTAGATAGGAAATTTGGAATATGTAATATGCTTACTACTGCCTCATCAATACAGAATTTTGCTGGACCAGATTTTGGACAGCAAGCAACTGAGACCAGGACCTGTCCATCAATATGTGATGTGCATGTCTTGGAAAGGTCAGGCTCATGGCCAGGGCCAGCCAAGGGGAAGCAGCATGTCCCTTCCTCTGGGCAACAGAGGTGTCCCCGCTCCTCCTCGTTCCCTCACCTCCAAAAAGCGATCAAGTGCAGCAGATACTGATGGGCTGGGGCACTCCCCAACCCCATGGCCTCTCAGCAGCTGCAAGCATGAGATGCGCTTGTGTGCATGGGATGCTCCATGGGCATGGGATGCTCCCACATGTGGACCTGGAGCTCCCGCACTGCTGCACGCTGCAGTGGAGCCACGCTCGCTGGCAAAGAAAAGGCAAAGAATTGGGATTCTTTCACATGGCCAGCACTCAAAAGTCTGCCTCCCACCCCCCCCCCCCCACAGCTATAATGACAATCCAAAGAGTTCCTGATAGGGTTTTAAAAGATGCTTATTCATTCACCGTCCACCAAGCATGAAAATCCAGCTCATTTGTTCGTTTGTTTCCATTCTTCGCGCAAACGACCCCACAGGGGCTGGAGCCTGTTGCCGCAAACTTGTCACTCACATTTTTAACTTCTTTTTGTTGTACTCCTCTTTATTTCATTCTTCTGGGTCCCCACCTCCGCCACCACTCCACCCTCTCCTCCGGTCACAAAGGCAAGTCTGGGAATCTCTTTAAAGCTGCAGTGCCCCCTTTTAAAATTGATACAAAAAGCGATAGCTGAAAGGGGATCCCAAGCCGTGCGAGGGGGAACGCCGCCCGTCTGGGCCAGGGCTGCACTCGATGGGGAGGGCAGTGGGGAGACTTTGTAGTGCGAGACAGAAGGGCAAATCAAGGCATGTCTGCGTCCAGAACCTGGTGCCCGTCCATCACTTGTGAAGCCTTCAGGTGCCAGCCTGGGACAGGCAGCCGGCTCGTCCCCATTGCTGCCGCTCTGTCCCCAGCTGGGTCCTTGCACTGAGGGACGGGGGAAGATTGATGGGGCAGGTGCTTGGCGTGGAGGGGCCCCTTTCTGATAAAGTGGGAGCTGATAACACCAGGTCGATACTTGATGCTATGCTGTGGCCACCTGGAGCCCCTGGGGGGGTCTTGGGGAAAGAAGGGACAAAGGGAACAAGGGTTGGGGCCAGCCTGGAACTTAGCGCTCGGCTCCATCCCACTCTCTTTGAGCTGGAGAGACAGTGAGAGGATGGCTGTGGTTTGCACCAAACCAACAAGCATGTGAGCTTGGGGTGCTTGTGGTGAGGAGCCCCCTACATTAGGGATCTCTCAGCCTTGTGGTTCTGGCAATGATTTACCCCCCCCCAGCATCGTGCTCATAAACCTGTCAGGGAGAAGCAGTGGGCTCCCCACTCCTGCCCCAGACCCAGCTGTATGAATAAAGCCAAGGTGTCAGCCTTCCTGATGTTAATAATTCTTCAGGCAGCACGGTGCAGCCATTTATCAGCCCTCCTTCCAGAGCCAGCTGGTGGCTGTTTGTCCCTTCTCTCCACAACATGATGCCCAAAAACACAAAGGTCCCACTGCCAACCCCTGCAAGTGAGCTGTGGGTCAGTGCTTTGGGGCATTACAAGCTCAGTGCAGGGAGCTTGGCCAGGAGATGGTGCTGCCTCCATGGTAAGGCACTGAGTGACACTAATAACAATTTTTTGTGGGATATTTTTCTTTCAAATGCACCCTATGACTGGATAAGGTGAAATTATTTGTGGCAAACAATGGAGTTGATAACTTTTTCCGCTCCTAGCTTTCCTGCAAGTAAACATCCATTCTTCTTACTTTCTACAAAAAAAGCACCCGGGCCCCGAGTGTTCAGCAGCCAGTATTGTTTTCCTCCAGCCTGGTGCCTCCCAGGCTGTGAAGAGGCTTCCTGTTGCCTGCCCAAATTAACGATACACCGTAGCCGAGTGTGGCTTTGCTGTGCTGGCACGACCAGATGCCCCTCGATGAGAAGCAAATGGAAATGTGGAAGTGCCTCGTGTCCCCACAGACAGATTCAGAGCTGTACGGACAGACAGATGCTTGCACAGTGTATTTCCCTGGCATCCTCTCCACTCTGCTGACACGTAGAGTTGGGGAGATGTTTGCCAATATGCAGCCCTGTCTGTGGGGTCCCCCTTGGAGCCACAAATAAACACAGCAGAGCATGGTGGATGCAGAAGCCCTGCATGCACTTCCGTGTGGTGACAGCACCAGAGTTGCAGCCCCACGGCTTCCACTCCAAGATATTTTTGTTTCTGGAAACAGAGCTGAGGAAAGGTGTGACCTAAGTTTGTATTCTTTCCCTTTTCCCCCTGAACTTGGCCATGATTCTCATGATGGTCTCTGATCTGCAGACAGCTCTATGAATTCACTGTGAAATCACTGTCCCTGGAGGTGTTGTGGAGCCATGGAGATGCAGCACTGAGAGGCATGGGCAGTGGGGGTGGGCTGGAGTTGGGCTAGGTGAGCTGAGAGGGCTTTCCCAACCTTATGATTCTATGATTATATGGGCCATAAGGCCTCCAGGACTCTATCCATGACCTGCTTATTTTTCCCCTGGGCCCCCAGCTGCCATTTTTCACACCCC